AGTTGAAAGCAAGAAATGTGAAAGTGTGGAATGCTTCTTTTTTAAACTACTCCTATGTATTCTTTAGTTGCTATGGTGGCTTTCTTCTGTGTCTAAGTAGATAGATAAATTGGATTTCAAATTTCAGTTGTTGTATGTATGAAAAGGCATAGTATGTTTTTATTTATTTTAAAGGTGCTAAAAGCAGGCTTGTGTGCATGTTAGGAATGATGACTTGAACAGCACTTCATGGCTGACCTTGTATACAAAATAAGTTACACAAACTGGAAATAATCAAGTTAATTAGTTCCTAATAGTGTAGTGTCACTTACTTATTCGCCTATTTGGTCATGTTGATATCCACAGCTAACGTGTCCTTGATTTCTCAAGCCATAATCAGAATTCTCAGTAAGGAAACATTGATGTGAACGTTATTAAGCCCGGGCAAAATGATTACCCATATATTACGTGATGGCTGTGACATTTTTTTTCCCACTTAGTTGAGTATGTCCTTCAGGAAAAAACTAGTTGCATTTCTTGTTTTTGTAGAACATAAAATGGGGGACCCAGTGCAGAGGGGAAAGGCTGTTTATGTAGATCCAGTGGATTTGCAGGGGGCAGGTCCAACTCAAAGCTGAGCTACTGAGGTTTTAGCTCTTACTCTGTGTTCTTTATGGCTTATGTTTATCTGGGTATTTCGGATCCTTGGATTTGTAGGACCCACTTTCTCCTTTCTCTCATGGAAGAGAGCCCTCGAGAACCTGAGCCCTGCTATTGCTGATATAGGTCAGTGGCCTTTTTGGTTTTGCAGTACTGCTGCATTCCTGATAGGCCTTGCAAGGTACTACCTACCAAATTCCTTTGTTGAAGTTGCCCTTGGCAGAAGATTAAAGCCAAGAAGTCCACCAAATGAGAAGCAGGGTGACACACGACAAGGAAGATATCTAAAAGTTAGAAAGTAGAAGAGCAAGGAAGACAGATGTGAAATAAAGGCATATACCAGCCCTTAACTGACCTTTGCTAATTGTACAGGGAAAAAAAGTGAAGTTTCTGTGTAACTTCAGGCTACTGTGATAGTAACTTCAAACACTAGACAGTATTTCACAAGTCACTTTCCAGACATGCAAGCAAGAGTATATTCATTTCAGAACATATGGTCCTCATCTTGGAACCCAAGTAACACGTACACTTTTTTCCTGTAGCTTTGACCTCAGAGTTCAGTGACCTTTTTGTGAGCCAGATTGGCAAAACTGTGCTGAGTTGCTCTAGCATTTCTCTGGAACGAGCAGGAAACTTCCTGTGTTCAAGTGGTTGGCATGAATGATTAGGAGTTTTCAAGTGTAACTTCTCAGAGGGGGGATGGGTGCATGTGTCTGCACTCATACAGCATCCTCATCAAGAGAACTTACTGTTAATTAGGCCTATGCACTTTAGCATCTTATTATACAGGTTTTTTTCTTTGAATTTTTTTTTTCTTGAATAAATGTTAATACAAACTCTTGTAACACACACTGCATGCATAAGCACAAACCTGTAGATGTGTACAGTTGCGTGTAATACAGGAGGACAAGGAACCTGTGTTGGGACGGGGAAGAGTAGGATGCAAGTCTCTCAAGAACATCTGTGTGCCTGTAATACTTCTGTTCTTAAAGCATTTCCGAGGAAGTGAAGTATTGTTGTTCGCTCCCTCTTAAAAACTGCATGACTACACAAATCGCTAGTAAAGCACTGTCCATTTTCTGTGCCAAGAAAATTTTTAAAGATGAGCAGGAAAAAAGCCAAAAACACAGAGGAGGCCTGGTAGGAAGAAGGTTTAGAATCCAATCCCAAAACAAACTAGGAGTTAATGCTACTGTGCCATAGTCAGGTACATATTTTTCATGTAACATATCCGTAAGGGTTCTTTCTAATGCTATACTGTGTTTTGTTTATAGCTGCTGGTGTCCGCTTTGCTTAAGTGAACTGAAATGCATAGCTGCTAAAATAGCTTTTATTTTATTTAATTGGTAGTATGCTTTTATTACAGGATTTCTGCAAGCAAGAATTCTCTCTTGTAAAGAACAACCCTTTTGAAAACAAACTTGTAAAAAAAATTTTGCCATTCATGTTATAAGCAGAAGATTTCAACTGTCTTAAGCTTAAGATGGATGAGTGATAGAAAATTGCAGGTATCCACAAAGGCAAACTTCCTTCTCTAAGCTATCTAGCCAAAATTAGTGTTTATTTGCTTTATTAGAAATAGCTTGCTAAGTATATTTTGGTGAATCATGCACCTAGTGTTTCTCTGTGCAGTAGTGACACTTTTTAGTAGTTAGCACTAGTTTGCACTAGTTACTTTGTGCAAACCACAGCTGAAGCAAAACTTTAATGGTGAATGTTGTTGTAACCAGGGAAGATCACAGCTCTATCCCATTTAGCATTTTTCTTTGATTTGCCCAGTTGTCATTGAACCTAAAGACAGCAACATAATATAATTCCAAGGCGCTTAACTCTTTAACTGAGGATTTATCCATGTCTTGCGATTCAGTAAGAAACCAGAATGCTATGTAACAGAATGAGTTGTGATGTTTCAGCCCTAGAGACGATTAAATGTAGACGTGAACCATCTTAAAGGATTTGTGGTGTTTGTAGGACTAATCTTGTTCACTGGAAGTAGACCTTTTCTGATGCGTGGCTCATGTGAGGTGAAGTGAGCCTTTCCTTCCTTCCTTTTCATAAGAATGAGCTCTCTACGTAACAAATTGACCAAATAACGACCTAACCTTTGGAAAGAAAGCAGAAAGCTGTCTTTAAATTTTACTAAAAATGTATGATGAAAACCCAGAACTCTGTTTCATTGCATTCCGGGTTCCAGTTTGGCATTAACCTCTTAGGTTTGCTTCAGTGGACCTTCAGCCTGAGGAAGGAGCTGACGTGGGCTGAGAGGTTGTTGTAAGTTAGGTTTTGATTCTTCTTTGGGTATTGGTCCTTAGTTGAACCTGTTGTGGCTGATAACGCATTTCTACTGGAAAAACTGAAATATCCAGTGTTAGCCTGTGGTTTTAAAAGCCACTGTTAAAGGTTGCAGTTAGTGGGCTCTATATGAGATAACTATTTGTTTGTCTTAACTGGCTTGCACTTCTGACTGTTGGAAGGTATAAAGAATGACTGCTTGGCTGATGGAGTTGTCTCCTGACAACTGATTTTGTTCTTAATACTCTAGTTGATTGCCTGCTGTAAAGCTTGCACAAACTCCTTGTGGTGGTGTGTTCTGGAGCCTTGGGGTGGGGGAGAAGCTCTAGCTATTTCACTCTCAGCCCCTGAAACTTGGTCTCTAAGATTGATTCAAATGTGGAAGCGATTCCTCATTTTAGTTTTCACTTTCTATCTAAAACAGAGTCTTCCTGTTGCATGAAGAAGGTTGCCTAAATGCAGGCATTCAGGAATGTTAAACGAATTAACTAAAAGTGTGAAGATAAAGTGCATGCTTTGAAAGCGTATTAAATCCCTGTGTAGATGCTCTCCGTTTAGACATAAAGTGGCTTTAGTTCCCTTTAGCTTAATCCCCCTTGACGGGGAATTAAGCTAAAGGGAAGTCATGCAGATTAAACTCCTGTGTGGACGTTAACATGACTTCTCTTTCCTTTCCTGCATGTCCCCTTAAAAAGGTGCTGTTTAGGACCTGTTATGAAGTAATGGAGCTCTTCTGGCTTTATTAAAGCTATGCTGATTTGAGTATCTGGCATCCAATATTTCAAAATAACCAATGCACTTCTTGGATATTATCGAGTCTCTTAACAAGTGTTTTCTTTGCAAGTGTCAACAGCATGTGATAGAGATAACAAATTAATATGATGAATACACATGCATATACATGTACAAGTAGACTTAGAACATACTGGGCCAAGTTACTTTTGACCATTAAACAACAAACTAGTGCATTAAAGTTGTACCAATGTTTCTGTTATCAGGTCTGTGAGGTCTTTGTAATTCACCTGTTCCGAGATGTGGTTCTGGGCTCAAGGGCTCTTGGTGCTTCTTGCTCCATTTTGTGTCCTGGTGCCCCTAATAGGGGTTGACAGTTGGTTAACATGGAACAGTCTACTCCGCTATAGTTTGAGAAACAAGAAAACTAAATTTTGTGTCCAAATAAGTTATAGTCCATGAATCTCTCTAGAGTGTCATAGGTAATTGGGGTAGCTTGTGGTGTGTGGGCTTTGGTAGCAGCTGCAACAGTGACAAACTTCAAAATTGAACATGTCTAGGTGCAAGGTGTTCCCAGGCTTTCCAAGGATCGTGGGATAAACCAGGCTGGATGGGATCCCAGGAGGTCTCTAGTCCAGCATCACACTTGCAGCAGGGTTGGCTCTGAGGTTGGACCAGGGCTCAGGGCTTTGTCCGTTTGGTCCTGAAAGCTGCTGCTGCTCCATCCTTAAAGTACTGTGTAAAAAAAGCTGACTTCGGAAAGAACTGCCTTTCCTCAGGATAGGTACTGAAGCCCGTGTTTAGGGGAGGAGCAATGCTTTCCTTAACTGGGACTGTTCATTTTTAGAGGTATGGAGTTGGTGTTGGGATTTGTTTGTCAGGATAACCACCACTTTGGAAGAGCTGGTTGCCAGGGCAAGGCTAAGGAAGGTGGAGTGTGGTGGCTCCCTGGGTCCTCTGCAGCCACCATAACCAGATGATCTGGGCTTTCTTCTCATACAGTCCTGTTTGCCAAAAACGTTATCAGGAAGCATATAGCCTATTGTTTTAAGGGAACAAAAGCCTTCCTAGAAATACTCTTTTCAAACTCTGGAGTTGTTTCCTCTTGTGTTTCTGACTCTGAGTTTGTGTGTAGCTTTTCCTTGGGTAAGATTGAAAAGCATGATTTAACACTTACCAGAATAAATTTTTGCAACATGAATGCTGGTTTTTGCTTTAAAGGTGCCATTAGGCAATGACAATTTGTGAGGAGGAAGTATCTTCTATTTGTGAGGGGTGGCAGCCTTGTCAAAACAAACTGCTCAAATCTCTTATTTTCAGGCTTCTCTTTTTGGCAGGATGTTTGTTCAGGTATGCCTGTACTTCTACTGTAAATGCTTGTGGCGCTGTCTGAAATTTGTGGTCAGGAAACTAACAGGACGATGTGAATTGCAAAGGATCTGTTACAATACCAAGCCTGGAGCTGCCAGAACTATGAAAATAGGTAACTGCAAAATACTCAGTGTTACGTGCCTTTGTGCATTTCTGCATGCGCTAATAGTGGGATGACTTTGTTTTTAAAAATTTTAATGTTAAGTGAATCCAGTATAAATTTAGCTAAACTGACACAGCACTTTCAAATACTATTCTCTTAACAGAGGCATCGCTGAAGAGCTCAAAAAGTAAGGTAAGTGTAATATCTCATAATTCGCCTTTTTTATCGTGTCCTTCCCAGTCACACTGTTCAGTCTGCTATATGCTCACCCCACAAAATCACTCTAAGGTTTGATATGACTTCACGTTAAAGAGCATCTTCTACTGAGGACAGGTCAGTGACTGCACTAACAGGTGATCTTGCAAAACTGGGGAGTGTTCCCTGTCCTCTGTTCTGTATTTAGCAAATTCACAGGCTAGTTTAATTTTTAGACAACACCAGAAGGTTCGATTTCTTTTAATTTCTTTGAAGGCATGTGCTTTTTGTGGTTTTGGTGTGGGTATTGTGGGTTTTTTGTTTTTAATAGTGCACTTCCAGGGCCACCTCAACAGGGCAGTGACTTGCAAGAGGAAGGAAAACGTTATACTGTTTCACTGCAGCACATCTGGAGCATGTGCCAAATGCAGGCTAGCAACTCTGATGTGACTAGGTGGTTGGTCTGAAGCTACTTTCTTGACCAAAGGCCTCAATGCAGATCATCTTCACTGGCAGCTGCCATAGAAATACATTGGAAAAAGTATAGGAATGGAAAAGTGATTTGAATTCTCATGTAGGGATCTTGCTCTGAAACTAGTCAGTGGGGTTGAATAAAATTGGAAAGGCTTATATATAGTGAGTTGGGTCTCTTAGGCCCTTAACCTAAAAGCTTTCAGGTATAATGTTTGCTCTTTTTAAGTTTTATTGAATAACGATTTCCATAAGAATTAATGTATGTTTAAAACCTTTTTTTTAGCGATTGCAAACTTCAGTAAGTGTTCACCCTGATGCTATTGAAAAAACTATAGATGACATCATGGAGCTGAAAAAGATTAATCCAGATATAAATCCACAGTAAGTCTGTGACTTCCTTATGAGACAAATTGGAATTATTGATTTCTTCAGTGCCTAGGTCCGTGGAGAATGGGTTCTCCATAGCTATTTTGGTACACAATTTGAAGATTAGTTTTATTTCTCAGTGTAAAAACACAAGTTAAACTTTGCTGTCAGAAAGCTGGTAGAAGAATGAATCGTCTGTTATGGTGACTATAATAGACATCAAGTCCTGAGTCTCTTTACCTAGCTGTTTCCTGAATCTTGCTGCCTTAGTATGTTGTTGGTACTTTGATTTATGGGGGTCACTTCCCTAAGGATGAAATACCACCAGCGCAGGTGGTCATGGCAGTGAAAGTGATGGCTTATTAGCAAGGCTGTGGACAGCCTCCTGGGTAGGGAAGAAACTGTCATATCATAGCTGATGGAAACCATATAGTTGTTTAAATTTTAAAACCCCTCTGAATTATCCAAGCAAAAACAAACAATACAGCACAGCCAAACCACTATGATCTTGTGTCATTAAAAGAGTAGGAAGTTATAAACAAACCCTGTAATTTAAAAAGCTGGTATTTCAAGAGTAAGTAGTAGTATTTTTGTTGTTCTCTCTCAGAGTCCTCAACTTGAGACAACAGTTGGGATGTGAAAGGTGGTGTCACGAACATAGAAACCAACTCTGCCACTAAATTGCTCCTTTATTTCAAATTGATTATAATTCTGTTAAGCTTTAATCATCTAGATTGGAATTTTCCATATGTGGCACTTATTTCATACCAAATTTTGGGGGAGAATTTCAGCAAAAGCAGACCAGCTATTTCTTTAGCAGGGGTTAACAAAAATGCATTGGTCTGCCGGCTTTTAAGCACCAGAAAACCTGCAACTGGCTGTCTTGTTCAGAAGCTCTGGCTGTCCCTTGCATAAGAGAGACTTAATCTCCTGGGGTAAGGACAAGGGGACATATGTCATGCTGTATGTGTTTCCACAAATCTGTATGTAGTCATTTTTGTTAATGTAGCATCTTTGCACAGCTGAGCTAGCATCCTGGGGATGTTTGCACTGAGCTAGTCTGCTGTTCTTGGAGGCTATGGGGTGCTGTGACCTGAAGAGGGAGGAGGCCTGGAGTAGTTTCACCTTGTCAATTCATTTAAGATAATGCTATGTATGTTCAGCGGAGGGATAACACTATGTGTATTCAGTGGAGGGAGAAAGTGGGATAAATAAGCAGGTGGTAACATGTATGGTCTCCACTAGCTCTGGAGGGAGGCTGTGAAATACTCCAAATTTCAGACTTGTCTCCATCTCGCTGAGCCCTCGGAGCTGCTTGGGGTAGGTGTAGGTGTGCCAGGCCACATAGACTGTTCCTGCGCACTGAGAACTGCTGCTGCTGGCACGTAGGTGTCAGGGAGGAGATGCGGGGCTACGACTGTTCACTCTGCTCCTCTGCCTGGCATTCCTGTGAAGGAGAGAAGCGAGCAAGGGTTAATGAAAAGGAGTGTTGGCAAAATGGCTTTTTCCATGGAAAACATCGTATAGGAGATTTGACCGGTTTTAGATAGAAAGCTTTAGATAGTAAGGGTGGCTTTTTTGTATATGTTCTGCGGCTTGGAACTTAAATAACTTTTTTATTTAATTGCTTTTCTCTTCCACTGCCTGTGGTGTTCCACTCTAAACTACTCTGAGGTTATTGTGTGTGGTTAAAAACATTATTACTGTGGCTTAGCGGTGCGTTACAGCAATTTGCATGCAGTCTTGTCAGGCGTTTCAGCCTTCTTTTTAACGTAACCTTTCTGTATAAGTATAGGGTATAACAAGTGAAGCATGTAAACACTAAAAGAGGGAAGACACTGTTTAACATACTCTAAAAGGTATAACATAATAACATGAAATTGTAGCAAGAAAAAATGGCCTGATGATGACTTCTCTTATTCTGTGGATTAATCTCAAAAGATAAGCAGTGAGAATGCTTCTGCTCAGAAAATTTAGCAGTATCATAGAATGAACAAAATATTTTAGTATACTAAGCAAAACAGATGAGGTATCTAGGCAGCTTAATATTAGTTCCACAGAGTAGTGAGGATAAAGATCTAACTGTACTCCTAAAGTTCACATAGGCATTCTGATAACTTCAGATATTATAAAAGGTTTAAAAGCTCTTATTCCCATAAATACCCAAATATTCATAGGAATTTGTATGAGAAACGAAAAGCATGGAAGTTATATACTATTTAATTTGTATTTAATACTATAAAATCTTAACCTAAAACCAAATAAGTCACTTAACTTAAAGCTTTGGAAGCCGTATGGTTTTGTGTTTTGTTTTTGTTTATCTAATGATGCATCAGGAATTTTGAAAGTTTATCTACATTATAATGAAAAGAGCCCTTATGGGAATCCTTAGCATGTGAGACAAAAAAAAACACCCCACCTATATTGCTTCCAGTTTTTGATGACTTTGTGGGCTTTGTGGCATGGAAACAAAATGGATAGCTTTGGGCGTTTTCTAGTTCTGGTCTCAAGGCATTGTTTGAGAAGTTGCCATTTGAATGCAGGGAAAAATTCAGTGAAGTGCTTGTAGCAGGCCTTTAGAGTTTCTGTGTAGAGTCATAATAGGCCTTTAATATGTGAAAGAATTCACTGCTTAAAATAGAGAAATTCTGTGTGTGTGTGTTTTTTTTTTTTAATGAAAGGAAGTGACTAAGTGGTAAGACTGTACTGTTCACAAGGCCGGATTTAATGTAATATTGATCTTTTGGAAACTCTCTCATAGTAATTAAACTGTTGGGCTATTAATTTGCTGATGAACTGTTACTCCTGTGAATTAAATGGGTATGTACACTGTAGCACTGTTTCATGGCAGCAGATGACTTGAGTTGATTCTCTTCTTCCCACCCTCATAGGCTGGGAGTATCTCTTCAGGCCTGCCTGCTGCAGATTGTGGGGTACCGAAATCTGGTTGCAGAGGTTGAGAAGCTACGCAGAGAGCCATATGATTCAGAGAATCCGCAGCATGAAGAAATGCTTCTGAAGGTAGGTGCCTAAGAAAGACTTCCAGGAAGTCCCCTATCCCTGCCAGCCCTAATAGTCTGGTTTGTAAACCTCTTAAAATGTTCACAGGTATTTTCACTTTCCTACGTTATTACCTGTTTTAGGATTAGCCTACACAGAATACTAATGTAGTGTGTGTGGGTGTAATACCCACCAAGCAAGCGGCTCATTCCATAGTTGATGAAGCCACTTAGAGCTTTTTGTTAGTTGGATGAGGTGCAGGGACTGGGTATCTACTGCTTGCTGCAGGTAGCACCAGTACATGATTAGATCTGGAAAAATAGCAATGTGTCTACTTCAGAAAACCTTTCTTGAGGGTAAGAGTATTTTTCTCTCCTGGTTGAAGTAAACAGTTTCTTCCTCAAATTTTTTTTTTTTTTTAAGGCATTGTTCACTCATATATCTCGATGGCAAGCTTTCACCATATGGGATGGGAGAGGTGGGAGATGAGGTAACTTATGTGTTTATGCTTGCCAAGTATATTTTCAAATGAAAACAAAATGAAGCCATTCTTTAGATAATAGGTGAACAGTGATGCAAACCATACCAGCTGGGTCTTACTCACTTCATACTTTGAAAAACTGTGCACTGAAGTAGATCCTCTTCCTCAAAAAATACTTTTAAAACCATAAGCAAGGAGACAAGTAGAGAGCTGTCATGTTAGAAAGAACTTGAGGAGGGAATAAAGGGGATGGAAAATAGTCTAATAACAAGTTTCAGCATTTCTTCTGATCCTTTTTCTGACCATAGCTAGTGTGAGATGTTTCAGAGAAACGGCAGAAAACATTAAATAGCTAGTGATGTACTAGCCTGTCTACAAAGCAAGCACTCTTGCAGAATTTTTGAAGATCTATTTAAAAAAAAAAAAAAAATCTGACATGTATTTTTTTCTTTACAAAAAATATCAAAAACTTTAAATGCTTCCTTCCCTTCCACCCGCACCCATCTTTTTTTGTTTTTACAGCACATGATGATGCTATCTTCCACAATATGACTCGCAACATAGCGCCTAACACAAGTTATAGTGGGAGACTTCTGCAAAGGTTACATTAGCTACTTGCACTACCAGTCCCTTCTAAAAATTCCACTGAGCACTTTTACATCAGTTAGTGCTTATATAATAAGTTTAGAAAATAAAAAAATAAAAAAAGCTGTCTCAAATGATAAAAAGAGCACCTATAGATGCATGGATGGCTGTGTTTAAGGCTGACTCTTGTGCCTGCCTAGAATTGCTACGGTCATGGCTAGAATAGTTACTGCCAGGGCTCTATTGCCAAAACCCTTTTTCAGAAGAAACCTAACTTACTACATCTCTTCAGACCATCCCAGCACGCTCTAGTACTTAATACAAAGTACTGCATGTCGCTTCTTTAGTTACTAGCAGCTCCTGAGGGTGCAACCCTCCCCTGACAGGCAGACAGCTTTGCAGGGTGGTGGGAGTCTGGCTGAGGGGGCCACAGTCTAGGGCTGCCTCTGGAGATCCACGTTCTGAGCACTAGGCAGGACCAAACAGACTCCTTCTGCTGGACTCCTACCACTGTGCAGCCAAAAAGCAAAATTCTGGGGCTAGAGAGGGACTTGCATAAAAGGGCGCATGGATTTACCCAGTGAGGAAGTCTTATCTGGAGGGCAGGCATTGTAGGTGCCAGCCTAGGATTTTGGATCCTGAAAATACGAGCTAGGTGGCTGCAACTCTACTGTGAGCTCTTGGCTCCAGGAAAGGATTCCCAAAGGCACAAAGCCCCCACATCACTAAGAGCGGGAGGTGGGGACCTGCAGGCAAGTGTCATGGGCACGGAGGAGGGCAATGTTGCAAGAGGCATCAGATGCAGGCCCTGGCTCCCTTTCCCTGCCGCCCGCTCCCTGCCAAGCAGGTTCTTAAATGTTCCTGAAAACGGCACTTTGGATGTATAATCACGTAAGCTCTTTAAAAGCATCACTGAATGGAGAATGAAAGCAGAATGGAAACTGAAGTGTAGGAGCGTTCTTAAGGGGGAGTTTAAACAGTTCACCTTACATATTAAAATGTTTAATGTTGAGAAAGGGTAGCAATATCTTCATCTGCCTCTGATTATAATCTGTGTATTAGGTACTTGTTTACGGTGTGCTTTTTGCTTTTGCGAGTTCTCATGTCAAACAGAAATCTGTCCAAGAGTTTCACTTGGTTTCTCGGCCTGGCTGGGGAAGAGTAGGCTGGCTGGCTTTCATTGCTTCTAAATATTCTGCTAAGTGATCTATGCAATGGGTAGTTCATATTATTAATGTTTATCACTTTTTCATGCTTACCAGGAGGGCATTTTATGAATGAGATAAAGATTAGCTTGATGTGATTGAACTGGTGAATGATATGTTTACTGTTAATAGGTGAATAACAAAGAAATAGCAGATGTAATTTAGTGCACGATGTAGCTGTTAAAACTTTTAAAGGTTTTACCTTTACGGTAAAGGTAAATCACTTTACAGTTTCTGGGGTGTTTGTGTGTGAAATGTTAATACAGGTCTTTCCCCTTTGTAGTGTGTGGTGGGTGTTGGTGGTTTTTTTTTTTTTTTTTTTAAAACAAGTGTGTTTCTTAAGACACTACTTGCCAATAGTAATACTCACCAATGTCTGAGGAACACCTGATTACTTAATGCCCTTTGGAAAGGGTGAATGTGTGCTATGATATGTATGCAGATAGGTATGTATTTCTCAGACACGTCAATTTAGGCTGCTTTTAGATACTTAGCAACATGATATTAGGCACTAAAGTCCCTGAGCCAATGCAGCTAAGTGGATTTATTCCAGCTGATGATCTGGCTTGGTAAATCACTTTTTTTTTTTCCCCCTGTTGTTGTGAGATCACTGAATGATTCACCCCTTAGTTAAATGTGAAGGTGGAAAGTGCTGTTCTTGTATGGACTTTTTTCTTTTTATGTTCCCTGATTTGCTTTTCAGCACTATGGCAGCCAAGTCAGCACTCTCAATTTGTAATCGTTTTAGAGACTTGCAAAAGATGCTGAAGAAAAGATTGCTGCAGAGCCTGAGGGAATTGAGGGCTGATTGTCTGCCACTCTGTCAGTGATTTACTATGAAAGTTCAGCTCATTCCTGATTCTGATTCCTGTAAGAATCTGCTTATGGAGGCAGATTCTAGTTTGACGCATAAAGCGTGAACAAAACATGTCCTTGTGCAAAACTCTGCAACAGTTGTAGATAAGGTTACAAGGGCCTTAGGGCTGTAGCTGAAACATCCGCAACATTCGAGAGCGGTTTGGGATCTCCCCCAACCCCAGGGACTGCATTTGTTCATATGTGCTGGTTGCTGAAATAACAATGCAATTATGTGACCTGAGAACTCTTTTGATTTTTTTTAAAAAAAAGCAGGTTGTATTAATGTGTGGAGTTTAATCATATTCTACCTGTAATCTTTCTAGTTATGGAAATGTTTGAAGCCTAATTCGCCATTGAAAGCTCGGATTTCGAAGCAGTGGTGTGAAATTGGTTTCCAAGGTGATGATCCTAAAACAGACTTTAGAGGGATGGGTCTCCTGGGCTTATATAACTTGGTGTAAGTATGTTTCTTATAGATGTACTTGTGTCTGAAGTTGTGAAAAGTCTGCACACAGTGCTGCTTTTCTGCCTTTTTTTTTTTTTAAAGTCTATAGGACCAAATTCTGAACATTAGGGATTCATCTCAAAAACTGAAAAAAAAAAAATTGTTTTCCAGTATAATTGTTTGGATTGTGGGGTGATTTCTTCTCTTCTAGAGGGTATCTTCTTTTAGTATTCCTCACTTAACTAGGTTATACAGCTTGCTAAGCCCTTTTTAGGAGTTCTGTGAAAGTTAGCGCTCTCTTCCCGCAAGTAAAAAAACTAAAATGTATTTTTATCAATATCTAGATGTCTAAACAAAATACCCTAGCAGTGCTTAGGTGGGAGTTTTATATTGCTGCTCAGCTTTCCTCTTTTGCAATTTCATTTTGAATTCCTGGGCAAAATGCTTGAAATGCAGCCACTGATGGTAGACTTCTGTAATTGGGCTACTTCCTCAGTTTACTTCAGTATCCAAAACTAAGAAATAACTTTAAATAACTATTGCCTTCTGCCTCACATACAACAGATATTTAGTATTGTATTTGTGTTTGGTAATTTAGGAATCGGTCAGTATCTGTGATCTTCTCTTTTTCTCCAGCCCCTGTATTTACATCAGATCTTTATATAACTTAGAAAGCAGGTATTTTAAGAAATGTTTCCGTGTGTGGGTGTGGAGGGGGGGGGGAATATTTTCTGCTTTTGCAGATTAAAGGACACAAATTCACTAACAGTGCGCATGTCACTTTATAGCAAAGCTCAGTTAAGGATCTGGGCTCTTGACTCTTTCGAACTTCCATTCAAAATCTCTACCACTTATTTTATGAGTCATCAGGCAGACTAAGAAATTTTTGGTTAACAGATCTGCCAGACTGAGAAGTCCAACTGCTTTATCTCAAGCTCAGCAGCCAACGTGCTCTAGCAATAAGAAACTGGTCATCTATAGACCATGTAGAAAGGGAGTACGGTACCGCACATCCATTATCAAGTTATAGGATTGCACTCATAATTTGAGGTTGGGCTGCTTCTGTCTTTAATGGTTGAGGAGTAGTTTAATGAATTCAGCATGTTAAATGTTGTTCACATTGCCTAACACCCTTAGTGACCCTTTAAGGGGCTGGGCATGGTGGGTGTGGATATGGTGTGTGCATCTTGGATTATAACCCAAGAATGATTTTATTTTCTGTCTTTACCACTTGACCCTAACTGTTATATATCTGCAGGTATTTTGCTGAATGGGACACTGGGATAGCTCAGCAAGTTCTTTCTGATTCTCTTCAGCCTAAATACAGGTAATGCTCGAGGCTAGAAAAAATTAGCTAATTAGGTAATGCAGTGCATACTGTTTTAGGGTGGGAGCTGGTTTTTGTTTTATTGGGCATAGTCTCTAAGCATATCTGTTTCCAAGTGTTGATCCTGAAAGATAATCAAATCCAAGAGGCAAACTTACATACTGAATTGTAGAAAGAGTTAAACTTAGTGTTAACTATTTTAACTAACTTCTAATATCAAGTGATTTTATTTTTTATTTACTTTTAATTCTTTTGTCTTTTCATAATGAAGGGAAGTCACTAAGAAGGAACTAAGGTATCCTTTTTCCTTTCTTCTTAGTTTTGTGAGACTCTACATGTAAATAAAGATCAAACTGTGCTACAATTTGACTTATTGTAAACTGAAAATCTTTGATGCAACACCTTCAAAAGATCCCCATTCCTTTCTCTAAATACTGCAGTTTTAGCCCAAATGACCTGATGGCACAGCGTTGGGTATATCTGAGTATGATAATCCATGAAGAATAAAATTGACCTTGTTTGAGGTAGTTCAAGCACCTTATTTTAGTTCTGTCTAGTAATCTATATTTGGTAATTTTTTACCTTTTTGTAGAAAAAGATTAAGCCGTGCAAATACTATGAAAGCAGCAGTGACTCTGACTTGATAATCAAAAGTAGTCTAGGTCAAGAATTTAGGTTAGCTCAGCTGAAAAACCCTTCTGTTTATGTTCCCTTTAGACCAATCATTAGTCATGGTATCCAATCTGGCTAGTCCAATGTCCTGTCTTTTGAGGGATCAATAACAGGTGCTTTTAAGGGGCAAAAACTTTGTATTGTGAACTATTTTATTACAGGAAGCTCATTCCATAATTGGTACAGGGGATAGTGGGGGATATACCTCTTAACCAGTGCCATAGCATTGGGTGCCTCAGAAGACTTTTTCCCTTCTACCGCTTGTATTAGGTGTCAGTACAGTAGGTCCATGTCTGAATCCTGCAAAGTTTTTGATCTCCTCAATATTTTATAGCTTAATTCCCCATGGTAATTCTGTGACAAAAAAGCACTGGGTGACGGCTAGGGGAAATATAAACCCAACAGACTTTGAGCCCGAGAGTCAGTCCTCAGATTTTTTTGTCTGGGGTTTCTTTTAAATAACAGCATTCACCCTTTTCTACAAGCACCTCCAGTTTGGTCTTCCCTTTGTATATAGTGTTGCCCATAGCTGATTTTTATTAATATAAATTATGTGAGTTATATACATTCATAATTATGTATAAAATTAATGAACAGGGATTCCATGATCCTTAAACTGCATTATGGGAAATAGCCAAGAATTCTCATTTAAATGTTTGAGATTTACATGGCAAACTGAAGCCCTCTCAATTTCCATCTTTTTCTTTCTTTCTTTAACAGTACAACTGCACAGACACTGAGTATTCAGTGCTGTGGCTGTGAGGCAGGGTATCCCATTAGTGTTCTTCATTTATGTGTTTGAGTACCAAGGACTGTTTTGGAGTGCTGTATTTGAGCATGTGTGTTTTTTTTGTTTTAATAATCTCTTGAAAGAGCATTCACTAGAAGATAGAAGCTGCTAGTGAAGCCTTTGGTGTTTTTTTTCTAGTGTGGTTGCTTAGCAGCAGTGTTGGTTTCTGATGTGATTATGATCAATGTAGTTCCTATTTCTGTTGAACTGTATTACTTGTCCACATCCTAAATTTAGCATCTTTTTTTTTTTTTTTTCCCCCTTCCCACATTTGTGGGGGAAGGGAGGGGAGTATTTTGTTTTTGTGTTTTTGATTGATGTTGGGCTACAGCCTATAAAGGTGACAAGATTTTGGAGAATGAGTATAGACTTGCATATTCTCATTCACCAAACCGTTAGGAGATTCAAAGGCCTACACAGGCAGGACATGAACGTTCAGGTCAGGAGGTATGTTAACTTTCTAGCAGCACTAACACTCAGTGACAACAGTTCTTAAAATACTATATTTGCATGAAATTTGGGGATTTTTGTTAGTGTAATATATTTTTACCATAACTCAAGTATGGTCTAAGAATATGTTCATGCATAGTTGCCTGTAAATCGGGGTCTAAAGCCTGCCATGCTTAGACCTTACTGAAGCAAAATTCCTGTGGGTTTCGCTCAATTGTAGCTCAGGGTCAGTTCCTGTCTGCTTTTAGCTGGTGGCAAATGCAGCCACTGACTTCTACTAAACTTCTGTGCAAGTAGATACAGCTAAACTCTAGTTAGTGGAGTGTCTTTTGACTGACAGTTGCATGATGCAGTGCTCTCAAATGAAAACATTGAACAACAGAAAGTTATTTAAAATTAAATGGTTCCCTAATTAATTCTATTTTGAGAGGCACCTTCTGTGCCATTGAAAAGCTCTGCATTATTGTGCTAAGTAGTATGAAATAGTGTGTGTGTGTGTGGCTTTTTTTTCTGTAGTGTGGTCTTTGATTTGGTTGCACAGATAAACTTCCTATCAGAGGAGTATTTTTCATGTTTGCCTCAAGTGCGTCATGTCTCCAGTGGTGAACATCATGTATATCTTGGAAAACGCAAAGGGTGAAAATCCTGTTTGGTTAGTTAAAAGAAACATTGTATTTTCAACGCTTCATGTAGTTCAAACTTAGCTGGGGCGGATCATCTTTGTGGTCAGTATAGGGAAATAACTGACTTTTATTGAGAGTTTTGTAGCCACATACTTTGTAAATGGTGAAAAAAAAATCATCAGAGATGCCATAAAGCAGGTAAGTTACCCCTTTCAAGCCATTTTAAGTCAGTCCTTTCAGTAAGAAACAGAGTTAAATGTGATTAGTCCTGCCAATGGAGCAAAAAATATAATCTATGTCCACTTAACGTAATAGTGTAAAACAAATTGAAATTGAAAAAACTTATCAGTTAGCAATGCAAGGCAACATCTGGATGACTTTTTTCTTTTTCCTCCCTCCCCAGCCAATTCAGTAAAGCTGAATGGGAGAAAAAAAGGTTCGATAAGGCAATTGGGTAAGTTTAAAGTCATACGTTTAAAGCTGCTACAAACAAAACTGTTGTCAATAACACTGTATATTTGAGTGGAAGTTTCCTGACTGCATTTTTAAGGAAACTTCAGTATATGGACTCTAACACATACTATCTTTGTAAATCAAGGTGTGGCTAGGATTACAGGAAAAAATGTCACTTTTAAGTAATAATTGGAGAGGGGAAGAAGCTTGCAGCAAGGAGAAGCTTTTTGTGTGCTATGTATAGTGCAGTTATGAATGTCTAATTCTTCTTAATATGCAATGTGATCAGGTCTCACTTCTGACTGTCAGAAACAGATTCTGATGTGCTTTCAGGTAAGTATAAAAATAGGGAAGAAATCCTAGTGAGGAGCTATACCTAGTGAGGTATAGCTATATTCATGAGTACAGAACTGTATTTTCCGTAACGAGCGTGTTTGAGAAACTGTAATACAACATTTTAATGTCCATAGCAGGGTCTCAATGAAATGAAATTTCATTGTTCTGTGAAACTTCCCAATAGGCTGCCTGCTGCTGGTAGCTTCTGAATTTTCTTGCTCCTGCAATATGTCAAAGATTTAAAAATATAAAATCAAAAATACAAATTTTAGCTTGCTTAACAGTCATAACTGGAAAATACCTAAGCCAGATTATATATGACAACTGTTTTTAAAAATTGCTGCATAGCTAAACGTATTTGCTTCTGTCTCTAAATGTCAGCATGGGACGTGCATGTTTCCTTGAAATGGTCACTGCCAGAAAGTACTTTCCCTTTTCCCTCATTGAGTTCTTTATGCAACAGGCTCACAAATTAAGAAGTGACTTCCAATTTTTTATTTTGTTGTACCTAAAAATACTTTTTCTAGTTAATACACCCTCTTAGCAAGACAGGGTTTTGCTCCATCAAAGCATGATGGAGAGAGAAATAGGTCTTTACCTGTTTTCTGGCCTGTATAGCTAGTTTCTGTTGGGAAGAAACTGGAGTCAACACAGCTGATTCTTCTCACATGGCTGAAAAGCATGTGAAATGTCTCTTATAGGCAAAAGTCTTTGTAGGTCTGATTGCCCAAACCTTATGTTCCTAACGATGGGTAAGGAATTACAGTTGGACAGACAGGTTGAAACAGTAAATAACTGGCCATGCTGCAAACAAAGCCATCATGAGGCGTGTCAACCCTGACTCAAAGCAAGTCCAGGAGCTCAGGGACTTTTAGCCTTGGTGGTCTTTCACAGAAATGAGTCTGTGCTGCTCCACTGAAAATGGCTGGTGTGATGAGGAAACTCCTGTTTTCACTATGGCCACTTGCTTCACTAGCACAGCGTTGCCATTATAGTGTACAAAGCAGACAGGAAAAACGTCTGTCTTGTTTTCCACCCCCTTCCTCAGCCCCTCTTTGGAAGCTCATCAGAAGCAGGAGAGAATTAATGTGCCTCAGTTGCACTTGCAGTGTTGTCAGAGTTTCTTCTAGCATGCTGAAAGAAGTCAAACTACCTCTAAATGTTGCTGCTCTCTTTTTCTTACAGCTACTCTTTTGCTATTGTGGGCATTAACATAACAGACCTGGCATACAATCTGCTTGTGAGCGGAGCTTTGAAGACCCATTTCTACAATGTCGCCCCAGAGGCACCAACACTAATACACTTTCAACAGACCTTCTGTAAGTTGGGGGCAGAGGTGGGGACTATAACTAGCTTGTCTTCCTGCTATCAGTTTTTCATCACCCATTGCTTTTTTAATTGTTGTTTTACAGTAGTGGCAAGTCCTGCAAACCTGTTGACACAGCACAGCTACTATCACACTTGTTTTGCTATCTGGTCTCTAGAAAACTTGGACCCAGTTTTTAGTTGTGGTGTATATCACCACCAAACCAAGGGGTGAAAAAAACAGTTTGGCCCAAACTAAAGTGACCTTTTATATGCCTCAATTGGCTTTAAATAATAGGAAAAGGTAAATAATAAGAAACTAAAGAGCTTTGAAATGTTGTTTTTCTGTAAAGCCATCTGCCTCTTAAGATACCCACATATAAATTCATGTGTTTCCCTGCGACTTTCAGTAGATTCCTCCCCCTCAGGAGTAATGCTTTTCTAGCCCCTCTAACTGTATTTGAGCATCCCCTTGAAGCGCAGACCTGCTGTGCGTCCTTGCCAGAACAGCACTGCAGCAGGAGCTGCACCGTGGCGGAGCTGCAGCACAAAGCGTGCAGCACACAGAGGGTTTGATGGGGAAGTCCCCTCACAGCCCCAGTAATGTGGTAGATGTGCTCAGTGCTCCAGTACTTCAGTGCAATCAGTGAATTGGAAATGAGGTTTTACTTTTTAACGTAAGCATTAAAAACACTTTAAGGACATAAGAAACCTTTAGGAGATGAGAAAGGGGAGGAGGAAGGTGGTTTTGAAGGTGGGATAGACCCAACTAAATGGGAAAAAATGGCAATCTTTTGTAATTTCTAGGTCAGTAGGTGGTGGGGCGGGTGAATGTTCTGTTTTTTTAACTTTGCAAGTTGAGTTGTTTTGTTTTTAAGGTTGTAGTAAGATTCTTTATTTTTAAAACGAGAACTTGTATTTTGTTTCAGCAATATTTTCTGTTTGCTTGACTGGATAAATAGCAAATAATGTCCTGTGCATCTCTCATTTAATAATATAGGCCTTTTGGAACCAGGTTGCCATTTAATAAGACTCACTTACCCCACATCTTCCATGGACAGTTCCCATACCCTAACGGAGGTCTCCCTTTCGTGATTGCTTTTAGGTTGCTGGCCTGGCTGAGACTGGCTGGTAGTTGTTCAGGACAATTTACTGGGTAGGCTTCTTCCACCCCAAATGACTCATAAATGTCTCTGCCTTTGTAGGTGGCTGGCTTGATAAAATAGATAAATATCTGTCTAAGTATCCACTTGAGCATATTTTTTCTTTGAGGGGGCTGCTCTGTCTTTTGATTCACCAAATCCTTGGCCTGCTCATGTCCTCCTGAGCTGAGCAGCTGTGTCTAGTAGGGCAGGTCTGACTCTCCTTTCCTATCATATCCTTGGTTCATTGTTGGTTTGGGGTTTTTTACTTTATTTTTATTTTTCTTTCCCAGGTTTAACATCCCCCATCACTGAAGCTTGGGGTAGAGACATGTTTTAGTACCTTTACTGGATCTTTTTGGCAATGCTGAAGTCTCTGCTGCAGGTAGCCCTGTTCTGCTGGCCAAGCCTGGGGCAGTCCCTGCACCGGCGTGTCCCCCGCAAGGAGCAGCGTTCCCATCCCCACACTATCCCTGGACAGGAGCTGCTCTTGACAGCTCTTCCCAGGGCAGCCCACATGTGTATGATTTAGAGCAGGATAAGACTTGCACCCATCTCTGGTGCAGTAATGGGACGGTAGAGGTGCTTGGATATTCCTACACACTCTCCCTGCCATTGCAGGAGAAACTTGATGTTATTAGATGGACCTTATTGAGAGAGATCTTTTTTTTTTTTTGCCCTTCCTGGAGCAAGGAGAAGGATGCTCTTTTCTAGAGAACGTCTGTTTTTGGGTCTGACAACTCCCTGCTCTTCTGCTCTCAGAGTTTCTCTCCCCTCTCCTGCCTCAGTCATTCTAGATTTCCCTTAATTTAATATTAAAAGGAAAATATTGGCACACCATTAGGCTGCAGTAAATGGCTACAGGCTGTTGGGCTGACCTGGACAGCTGGTTGCATTGCCCAGTCAGCACCCTTTCTCATGATGGTTGCACTACATGGACCTCCTAAATGCTGGTGCATCATGTTTCCCCTGCACCTTTTGCTCCCCTGGACTTTAGGGACAGACACAACCCTGACAATTGAATTTGGCCTATTGTTCTTGGGTACTGTTGCCTTCTTTTGACAGTACAAGCAGGGCACTGAACTGTATAGCTCTGGGGCACGCTGAGCACAACCACTGCTGAAGTACAGAAGGTACCCCTTGTAAGTCTCCCAGAGTTTTTTAGGTGAAGACCTAAAAGTAGTGTTTTGCCTTTATGTCGTAACTTTAAAGGGGTTTTACTGAGCTGTTCTGCAAAAGAAACGTCTCTTAGAAGTATATCTTCAAATCTCTTCCAAATATTTCAAGAGTCAGAGGCCGTTTCATTCCAGCTGTGGTACAATAGAAGTAAATGGATAGAAGCAATTAATCTACTTCACAACAGATGCTGTGTGCTTCCCAGAGTACAGAAGATTTATTTGACCATTTTGCTGTATTGGAATGGAAGATCAGGCTCTATGCATTGTCTGCTGTGAGAGTTAGGATCAAGAGGTGGTGTCCAACTCACTGAAGCCCTAGTGAGAGATATAACATTTTCTTTCCTCTCAGTGGTTCCTCCACAATGCAGAGATGGCATAGAACTGAGATGGTAAAGGGCCTTAATCAGAGCCTGTATATTCAGTCCACTTCATGACTAAGTTTCTTCCCAATGTAAGGATATTTAAACAAAGTCAGGTAGTTCTTCACATCATGTTGTTGGCCTTTCCAGGATCATACGCATAAATGTTCAAGTTCCTTGCAAAGTTATGGGCACACAACAGAAGTAAAACTCTGTGTGAGGAAGAAGTGTTAATACAGCAAGATGTGGCACTGTTGCATTACTTACCAATACACTGTTTTTATTGGCGAGTAAGTGTTATTCTTATGCTGAAATAAGTGAGGCAAAATGTGAGGAAAAAGGCTGTTTGAAATCTCATCAGCAGCATCTTCCCCGGCTTTTATACTCATTAGCTTAATGTGTAGTGCGTGCATCGCTTAACCAAATAAAATCAACAGTTCAGCATCTATATGTCGAGACACTTAGTGGCTTCTTGTATTTACTGGGAGAAGTTCTACTATTGCATTCATTACATTTTGGGCTTGCCAGTCAGCGAGCCTTCTAAAAAGGCTTATCTAAAACTTGCTGTTGGGAAATGTTCCAAAGTCCAGGAAGCCTTTTTAAGCATATGATTAGAGGGTTTCCTTAAATGGAATGCCAACTGTTGTCTGATAACTCAGCACTGGTAGCACTGCTGCTATGGCAACAAATTCTTGCCATTTGTTTTAGTTTCTTAAGATAACTGTTATGCAGTGTTGCAGCAGAAGTCCCAGAGGTGTTTAGTCTGACCTTTGTAGCTTCATGAAGTATCAGACCTCAGGAACCAGTGCTCTGTGTGTACATTGTAGTCCTTGCAGGTTTCTTTTTAATTCTTATATAACATTTTTACCTAGTGTATTTCTTTTTCATAGGCTACTTAATGCATGAATTCCACAAATTCTGGATTGAAGAGGACCCACTGGACATAATGGAGTTCAATCGTGTCAGAGAGAAATTTCACAAGCGAGTCTTGAAACAGCTCCAGAACCCAGAGATGGCTCTGTGCCCTCATTTTGCTGCATCGGAAAGCTTAATCAATATGTAGTTGTTCACTTGATTTTATTTGAAAACACTGCCTCACTCTTGTGTTAGATCACTGTTTAGACCATCACTGACATACTGAATGACCATGAAGATTGTATGCATGTTTTTGGTGCAGTATTCATCTATTTTTGTCATATATACTGCTAGATCCCCTTTCTCTTGTTGGGGATTTCTCATTTTAAATGGGTGCTCATATTGCGGCATTATGCAGTGTTACATTCTGAATTAATGTCCAAGTATCAGAGTGTTTTCTATTTTTTTAGACTTTCCTCATAATTCAGCATTGAAGAATTGAATTGTATTTCTCTAGCTGTGTTTTTGTATATGTGGAATAATTAGTTGGATCTTGTATTGTGAAAGCTTTTTAACTTCCTGATATGTTTTAAGATACACTCTGCTTGAAATGCCAGGAGTTATGTTTGGACATCATCTAGAAGACAATGCGCATAATTAATCTGATGCAGATTAACACATTAAAGTCCAGTTTTGTCCATGCAGCCATATATGCTTAATGCAGAATTTGAGGCTCATAAAATACAAGCTTCAGTGAGAATACTTTATGGAGAATTACAATATGACTCCACAGCTGCATGAACACCAAATGATCTCGCAATGCTAATATGTTTAGTGAAGTGCAAGCACTCACAAATGGGTACTGGCAGGGGCCAAAAATCACATGATCAGGCTGTTGTCACCAACACCACCAAGCATGGTCTCAATTCCTGCACAACCCTTTGAATATACAGGGGTTAGTGTTCTGTGTCACGTATTGGAAGGCAACATGATTTGATCATGTTGTGCTCGGTGAATTCAGGGGAGGAGCAAATTTCTCTCCCCTCTCCCCCCCCACCTCTACTACTGAAAACATTGCTTGGGTTGTTAGCTCAGTTCCAAAGAACTGGGAGAAATAATCGATAAGAAGGTTTAGAGCAAAACTACCTGAATTTGCCAGACTACTTTAAAAATAGAATGGCAAACTGCCTTTTTTTTCTTACAAAAAAAAAAAAGTATATATATAAATGCATAAGTGTTTGACACCAGGATTATGTAGTATATTGAATGACATCTACCATGGCATTTCATACCCATGGTATTTTTTACCTTCTAAACAATCAATTTTAGTATTATACGTTTGTGTAAATCACTTGCCTATTGAGAGTAAATTTTGAGTAGTGTCCAACTACTTGTGAATTATATGAATAAATTATGTCATTCTAAACTGAAGCACTGTGGGTTTTATTTTTGAGATATGCAGGAATACAGCTGAAAGCTGTTGAGCTTTAATGGGTCAGGTAAAAGGGGATATAACAGATTTGTGGTGTTTCCATGGTCTGAAAAGTGGTCTGAGCTTATTCCAAACTCCATTCAAATGCTTTGAGAGTTTCACCATGACTCACATGCACCTTGGATCATGATCTTTATGCTATTTCTCCTTATAGCTTTGGCAATAACTTTTTTCTTTTTTTAAGTGGTTGAATTTTTTGAAGAGAAACTTCTCGTTAGTTCCTGGGGCTTTTATTTCGCGACTTCAGAAGTGAAATGGGGCTTGTTTGGGAGGATTGAGGGGAGAACTTCTCTGTAGGACTAAGCTACTCTTTGCCAAGTTTATCAGCAAGACTCAATGGATGTTAGGATAAGTGGTCTTCTCTAGTGGACTTTGGAAATACTAGATGTTGCATATCTTGCATGAAAATACGAGAAAAAAATGGTGCATGCTTAACATTAGCATGATTTGGAAAATAGTTATTTATAATACATAAAATATTAATGACTACTTTGCAGTGATCTTGAAGCCTCTCAAATACACTTTAAGCAGTGGTTTTCATCGTTTCAAAGCTGGAATCTCTTGCATCCTTTCCATCTCCCGCTATTTGACTTTAGTTTCTCTTTGATTTTTTTCAATCTGCACTATCCTTAAAATCTCAGGAGGATTGCGTTGCTTTATTTTTAATACTCTGTACTGGAGTTCATGGGTGCAAGTGTAGAGGTCTCTGTTACCTGTTTACTGGTGTGATCTCAGTTGTTATGCCTTGTCTCAAGGTGTTAACTTGAAATAAAATCAGAAGATGTCATCTGGCTCTGTGTCAGATTGTGTCATTATAATACAGCTGCTTTGGGTGACTGTTTTTACTAGCTTGCAGGGAGATGTATTTAATGAAGCTAAACATGAAACTTCCTTCTCTCTTAGAGACCCTTCATGCTGGTGTCTAGGGATCTATTTTACTGCCCGCGTGCTTCAGCTTGCACTGGGGACATTCTTGCTCTTAAAATTCTTGTAATAGGCTGGGGCAAAGTGTGTCCTTGTCAAACTGTCTCTGTGCTGTTGGGAGAGGGTATCTGGCTTTGTAACTTCCTCCCTCCCTCCCTGGGTGACGCTACCTCTTACCATGATGAAGATCTAAACTTTGCTTTAAAAAAGTAATAATTTATATTATCGTTGATACCCTCATAGGTTACAGTTTGGAGAGGTAACCTATGAGGAACTGGATGCTGCTCTTCCTACGGAGGAGAAAATAGGAAAAACAGCAAAAAATTTAAAGATTGTTTTGAAGAAAATAGAATCCATAATTATAGTCACTGCAGAAGACAAGTTTTGGCATAGCAGCAGAAAAGGTTTAGGTTGACTATTTAATTTTGAAGACCTTCCCACAGCCTTATTGCTGTGCTTTACCTGCAATCTCCTCTTCTGCAGGCTTTTATGAAGCAGGCTACAGTAGTGCCAAGGGAAGCTGTTAACCCTGCACAGCACAGGGACCAGGTTTGCTTCTCAAGAGCCGCAGTTGCACACACCACAGCGAGTGCAGTCCAGCTGTTTCCTGCAGCGGCATTGAAGCTGCACTGGAAGATTGCCTGTCATATAAAGGGTGTTAGTCCATTGCCCTCATAAATGGAAGAGCAATCTTTAAAAGCACTTGTACCTGCTGCTGTGTGGTCAGTGCTGTGCGCCTTGCATGGCACTGCTTAGTGGTGCTGGCTGAAGCAGCTTGCTGCAAGTGGAGAGTTTTCAGCATGTTCCTAGTTGAAATAACTGTTGTTAGATGGAGCAGCAGATATGCAAACAGAACACTACTGCTTGGGAGTAATGAATCCGGATCTGCTGCTTCTGACTCTAAGGATTAGTGGTAGCATAGTGCAGGTGTTATTTTCCTTTATGCAGTTGGTATCATTTCATTCTCAGTCCTGCCCTTTGCGGGTTGTGGTTATCTTTTAACATTTCCTTTGAAATGAACTGTCCATTTGTGTTGTAATGTGGCTCATGGCTTTGACCTTTGCACAGGAGCAGTCGACAGCACAGAGTTATCCACTAGTAAGGGCTTGCAAATCGAGCCATTCCTGCATGAGCTCTAGAGGAAGACTCAGTCTGCAACTCTGCCGCTCGGCTGGATCCAGCTGAGGGAAGAATCAGCTCCAGGCTGAAATAGCAAGCATATGCAGTTTTATAAATGCTTAATTCAATGTTTGGTATAGTTTTTGGGGAATATGGGACCTCTGTATATATGTCCCTTTGTCCTCCAGTTGGTCCTGACAAGCTTGATATTGTCAATATATTACAACTTTGGTCATCACAGGAAGATTCTTCTGTGAATGACTCTCACAATCTCTGATTTTCAGAGAACTGATCTATTTTCTTTGTATATGCCTAATCATCTTGATTTTCATCTCTCACTCGGAATTTGGTCAGTGTGAGCTAGAATTTTGCGCTAATGGATCCTTAGGCCATGCTGAGAAAAACAATATGGGTCACCTCTGCACACTTGGGTTTGCAGCATGGTGCAGCTAAAAATCACATGTATTATTAAAATAGATATTTTGCAGAAAACAATCCTGAAACAGATAAGGAAATGAAATATTCATTGTTTTCCTTGGTTCACAGCAGTGCAAGTCTTCTATAATACTTGCCAAAGATTAGAGAGGAGTCTTTTATAAGATCGTGTAGAAATATAGTAGGATAGGCTTTGTGCGTTCCCCTGTGAACAGCACACATAGGAATCAGGTCATTAGTTATTCTAGTACAGAAACATGTTCTTCTCTATATAGAACTATAATTAGAAAGGCAGATTTAGCTATAAAACCTCTGAGCAAGAACTTGGTACAGCAGCTTGGATCACAATGAACTATGGAGAATGGCAGAGGGCTTGTTGTTTATGTTGCTGTGTTCCTAGACCTGTATTGAAGGGCTACAAAAATATACAACTAAAAGATGGCCTATGCCCCAAAGAGTTTACAGTCTTAAGCAAGAGAGGTGAGTAAGACATGGGAGCACAGGAAAATCAATAGGACAATACTTATCATCTCAGCAAAGCAAAGCAGCACAACAGGAGTTGGAGAAAGGGATGCAAGGAAGCTTGCTTTTTGTTCATGGGCAGTTTTTCCCAATCACAAGGGCAGCCAAGGACAGTACATGGAGATAACTGTGAAAAAAAAGATGAATGGACAACACAGCATGGCACTATGGGCATACAGGAAAGGAGAGTAGACATATCCGTGGTGGATAGAATATGACTGGGAAGGTCCATGACAGAAAAACAGTCTGGAGTGAGAGAGAGCACAATGCTGAAGGAGCAATCCATGGAGAGTCTGGCCTGATTAATGCAAGCTGCTGCGGTTAACCCAGAGAGCTTGGCAAGGGCTATATGGCAGAGTCCTGAACGGGTCTGAGTATGGCAACATGGCCTGTTCCAGGCCCTGAGAAGATGAAGACAAGCTGGGGGCAAGTTTTACCTCTGCGAATGAATAGGAGAAGCAGTGCTTATTAAGAGAGATGAGGCAGGAAGTATCAACAAGATTTATACACAGCCTAGATGTAAAGACCTGAAGAGAGTCTAGGGATAGAGGTGGTCATGGTCTAAAAACAGGTTGGGAGTGTTCTTTGCATCTGGAAAGAGCTCTGAAGCTACAGCAGGCTGTAACATAGACATTAGGATAAAACTCTGGAACAGATAGAGCTCTGTGTCTCAGAGCGAGAGCTTATCCATGGACAAAATGTTGAAGCAGGAAAAAAAATAAAATGACCAATGACAGAGCCCCCGGGAAAGGTTCTTCTGTATGGCTTGTGGCAGGAATGATCAAAAAAGTGCGAGGCAGAAAAAGGATAGTCTCAGAAGCTAAAGGGAGACCAATGCTAAGAAGTTGCTGTGGTCACCTATGTCCAAGGCAACTGACAGCTAAGTGCCCTACCTATCTATTCCTCTGTGATACGCTCTGTTTCTGATGCACGTAATGATGCGTTTCTGAAGAGTGGTACAAGCATTGTTTAAATTACCATGAAATGTATTCCATTTCCTTATTCTTACAAGTGCCTCTGGCTTTAAGAAGTAAACTATGTCTATTTTAAAGCCTATCAGCCTCTTTACTGAAAAAAAATCTCCTCTCAATCTCTATCTTCTTTCACCTCCTTATTGCTAAATGGGATCCATGGTCACAATCCAACTGAAGAGAGTCGACTGCAGCTGCATGCGTGCAGTAAGAGGCACCTGTACAAAATGGCAGCAACAGAAGGGGAAATCCAAGTCTACAGAAGGACCAGAAACGAGAAACTGGGAAGAAAAGCTCGTGAAAGATCAGCAGAGAGAAGGATGTAGCAGAGAGAAGGAAGCAAAGGAATATGGTTTAGCTATGTAGGCACTGGAGAAGGACAACAGGCAATGGATCTGACAGGAAGGGGTAGAGCTCTAAAAGGCAGCGTTAGGGCTGGGGTGGGAGCAAACGAGAAGGCCTAACTGAAGGCACAGCAGTCATCACAAGGCAGAAAGATGTAAGGCAGTAGAGCTGGTGGGAGCTTTGCAAGGGAAGATGTTGGAAAAGGGAAGCAAAACATAGAGGAGGAACAGATATGAAAATGGCAGTGAAAGTAACTGCAGAGTAACTAAGGGTGAAGTAAAGGGCTGGACTCCAGCTGTGTGTTAGCCTGGCTGAGAAGTTAGTAAATGGTCAATAACATAATAACAGATTCAGTAAAGCAATTTGTGCAGACAATGAGACAATAGATCCTGAACACCAGGGAAATGGAGGGATGAGCGGGGTGATTTGCTAGGAGGCACTGATGCAAGAAGCTGAGCTGGAGATGACATTACCTGTCTAGTTTCAATGGGAGCAGATTCTTTTCAATCCATGCAGCAAAGCACTTGCATAGTGGCCACCCCACCACAGGCCAGTCAGCAGTGAGCACACAGAAAAAACAGTAGCAAAATCCTCAAAAGCAGTAAATCAGCTCAGCCCTTTAA